CCACTCTTGAGGAGGTGACCGGAAGGCTCAAGGCGGTGGATAATCGCGAGAAACAAGCGCCGACCGAATTGGCCATCAACGGCAAGCATTGCTTGACACCGAGGAGCGAGAGAGCTACAAGGAGAAGAAGGAGATGATGCCGGTGGTTCGGATTCGGGAACCAAAGACGGTGGCGTGTGGGCGTGGCAGCGGTGGTGGACGAGGACGAGGCGGGCGGTGGACGTGGTGGCGGACGAGGAGATGGCAATGTTGTTTGGCGCGCGTCATCCAAACACCGCCTCAATCGCAACCGGGAGGGCCATGGGCACGTGAGTGTCCCCACCATGCGCCGTGAAGATGCAGAGCCGGCGGTGGAGGTGGAAACCGTCTTTGGCCGCGGCGGTGGCAATCGTGGTGGAGGAGGTCGTGGCGGCGGAAATCGGTCGGGCGCGCGTGGCGTGCGGGAACCAAGGAAGGCATGAGGCGCTACCAAAACCCGAAAAGCGATGAAGATGGCGCTCTGTTTACGGCACATGGCTTCATTAGCTCAACAGAGCGAACCGGGCAAGACAGCGACTACACGGCGCGAAAAGACGTCCGAAGTTCTCCGAGCCACGTGCTTGCGCCTATCTCGGCGTGGACGAAGAAGAGGTGGATGGCGGTGGTACACGGACTCTGGCGCGACGCATCACATGACCGGGCGCCAAGAGTTCTTTTTTGTCGATCTGAACATTGGCGTTAGGAACGGTCCGGTTCGGGGACGCGGCGTCGAAGGTAGAGATCAAGGGCGTCGGGTCTATTGTTTTCCAAGCCAAGATCGGTGAGCGAGAGGGTTCTTCATGGCGTCTACTTCATTCCGGTGAAGAACTCTATCCTAAGTCCGGGACAACTTTGATGAAGGAGGGTCCAAGGTTGTGATTGATGATGGCGTGCTTCGCATTTGGGACAAGAGCCGCCGTCTGCTTCGCCAAGGTACACAGAGGGAAGAATAGGTTGTATATTCGCATCTTGAGGCTACACAACCTCTGTCTCGCGACACATATGAAAGGCGTGGCGCGGCACGAAGCACTTCGCACGACGCACTCCGGCGACTCGGCAAGGAGGAGATGGCGCGGGATGCCGGTGGTTGACCATGTTGAGCGGTGTGTGACACTGCGTTACCCTGCAGGCGGCGTTCTTTTCCGTGCAGCAGCATATCGTGCCCGAATCGCCTTGGCCGGTGCACGGTGACTGTGTGGTCCGGCCACGCCCGGCGACACCGCGAACAACCGTTATATCTTCTTTTGCTCGTCGATGATGCCACCCGTTTATGTGTTGCTCCATCCAAGGACGCAGCAGCGAAGCAATTAAGAAGGTCAAGGTGGCGGCGAGAGGTGGAAAGCGGGCGCAAGTTGAAGGTCCCGCGCAGACCGACAATGGCGGCGATTCATTGTCGCGAGTTTACTTGCATCTGCTATGAAGGTATTAAACGGCATTTCGGTTCCCTTATTCACCGCAATGTAACGGTGTTGTTGGCGCGCAGAACCAAATACGGTGGTGGCCATGGCACGAGCTTTGCTCAAGCAACGCCAGATGCCCTCTCGGTTTTGGGGGAGGTGATGACAACATTCACAATCGATCCCCGACGAAGAGATCAAGAATGCCACTCCTTATGAGAGTGGGCACGCCGGGCACCAACAACAATAAATGGGTCTTTGGTCAGTATACCCGGCTTACTCGACCACCAGCTCAATGACCGCGCAGAGGTTGTTTATCGGCTATGCGGAAGGGGCAAAGGCATACCGTATCTATGATCCAGGTCCCAATAGCGTGCGTGTCACCGCGATGTGGTGTTCGACGAAGGCATTGGTGGGGACCGGGCATCACCGGCAAGCAGCACACCGTAAGCAGCGGTGTGAGTTTATGTTGAATTCCCATGGGCGGAGGAACTCCCCAAGCGGGAAGTTCAGCGTCGCCTTCACTATCTCCTCCGCCACATCCTGCATCGCTGGTTTCTCCGGGTGAATGCAAGAGCTCAGCTGAAACAGAGGAGCCTGCAATGAGGCAGAGGCGCTGCGTCGCCTGCAACACCTACACCGCTCCAAAGTAAGTCCTCGTTGAGCATGTGATCCCCTTGAGGATGATGATGAAAGGGTGGATGCCTACCACGACGATGAAGAACTCCGCTATCGGAAGATTCATGACATTATTGGTGATCGACCAACCCCTCCGCGCCGTGCAAGCAGTGTTGTTTGCGAAACTAAATCTCACCCATTCGGTGAGCCTACAAGCTATGAAGAAGCCAAAGATGATCCAGATTGGCAAGCAAATGATGAAGGAGGAGCTGAGATCAAGAGAGGCTGGAATGGGACTTGGGAACTTGTTTCTCCCTCGCCCCGTCACCGAGTCCAATTTCAATGAAATGGGTGTTTAAGCTTGAAGAAGGATGAACATGGAGTCCATACAAGGCAAGACTTGTGGCCCGTGGTTTTGTGCAACAGGAAGGAGTTGATTATGAAGATGTTTTTGCACTTGTTGCAAGGATGGAATCAATGTGTTTTGCTTGCCCTAGCAAAGACAAAGAGGATGGGCGATTACATCACATGGATATGAAGTCCGCATTTTGAATGGAGAACTTGAGGAGGAGGTTTATGTTACACAGCCTCCGGTTTTTGTAGTATCAGGAGAGGAGAAGAAAGTGTACAGACTGCACAAGGCTCTGTATGGCCTAAGACAGGCTCCTCGGGCATGGAATGCCAAGCTTGATTTGACTCTCAAGCGTATGGGTTTTGAGCGGAATGTGTATGAAGTCATATGTGGAGAAGGGATCGGTGACTCCCTCTCGTAATTGGAGTCTATGTTGATGATTTGATCATCACAGGAGTCAATCAGCAGAAGATTGAAGCTTTCAAGGCAAAGATGAAGCAAACCTTTGAAATGAGTGATTTGGGTCTTCTGTCTTTCTATCTGGGAGTTGAGGTGAGACAATCAGAGGGGAGCATCACTCTGAAGCAAACCCATTATGCAAAGAAGATACTTGAGCTGGGTGGTATGGCAGGTTGTAATCCAGCCACCACACCCATGGAAGAAAGGTTGAAATTGAGCAAGGAAAGCACAAGACAAAGGAAGTAAATCCAACTCAAGATCTGTAAGACCTGGTTGGCGACTTGAGATACCTAGTGCACACAAGACCAGATTTGGCTTTTCTTTGTAGGGTATGTTAGCAGATTTCGGAGAAGCCAACAACCCGAACATCTTCGAAGTCAGTGAAGAGGATCTTGAGATACCTGGCCGGTACTCTAGATCATGGGCTCTGCTACACCGAACAACAACAGCAAAGCAAGGTTTGTGGGTTCAAATGATTCAGATTTGGTGGAGATGTTGATTCAAGCAAAAACACAACTGGATGTTTGTTCTTCCTTGGAACCACTGGTCACCGGCGATCATCAAACAGAGAGTTGTTGCTCTGTCTAGCCGTGAGGCTGAATATGTGGCGATGACAACAAATTGCAACCCAAGCTTTGTGGTTGTCAAGACTGCTTTGAAATTATTGGGAAGAAAAGTTGAGGTGGTGGAACTCGAGTAGACAATAAATCCGCTCTGGCTTTGGCAAAGAATCCTGCTTTTCCATGACAGAGGAGCAAGCATATTAGAATCAAGCATCATTTCATCGTAGATTGTGTAGAAGAAGGTAGCATCAAGACAGAGTTCATTCCCACTGCAGATCATTCTGTGTGATATCTTGACTAAAGCCTTGGGCAAAACCAAGTTGGAAGAGATGAGGAGCGAGATTGGGATCAAGGAGATCAAGATTAGTTGAAGCGGTGTCTTAGGGGAGAAATGTAGTTAATAAGCCACCGCTTCCTAAGCAATTCCTAGATAACTATGCTAGTTAATTACAGTCATTAAAGACCTTGGGCACCCAAGAGGTGTGTACATCATATCATTAGCTATGCTCTAGTGAGCTGTTTGTAATCAATGCAATGTCTATCTCTATATATAATCAAGGAGACAGCCTGGGGTGTGTGGCTGTTCAGGCTAATCAAGTCTGTGTTACCTCCAACAACCAATACGTGCTGAATAAATTGGTTTACATAGTGCAGTTACTGCTCTGCCATATTCAATCCAGGGGATGAAAACACTTAGGGGCCGTTCGGATCCCTTCATTTTGGAGGAATTGAAATCTATTTAATGGATTAGGCTATTTGGCTTGGAATTTGACATTCCATAACATTCCCAAGCTCATAAATAAGCCTATCTCAAATTCATAAGGTGGGAGATGTAAATTGATTCTATAGATCACTATGCTATAATTATACTCTCCAACTTATAGCACACTCTTCAACTCACTTCCCTACAATAGAAATGCAACAGATAAGTATATCCCTTATGTGCCTAACAATAAATATACAAATATATTCCATATACAACTATATTAGCTTAATTAATCTATGTCTACAATGTAATTATTAGAATGAATTCAATTCCAGGGATCTAAACGGGCCCTTACTGTATTCCCGTCCATCAAACGCCCACCAAACATACAGAAGGATCATCTAATCTAATATAAGCATTTCCTTGACCTCTGTGTGCCCTATAAGATTCATGGTTAAGAACTACTATGTTTATAAGAAACCACCAGCCCTGCACACCTCGTATTGGGTTTGGATGTTATGCCGAAACATCACAGTTTACAGAAGGTAATTCCTGGTGAAACTTCGACATATTACAAATTTACAACCGTAGAACGGAGTACGTATCAGATCAACCTGTACCACGCTTTCTGATCAAGCACACCCGAGCCAAAAAAAAAACTAAATTAAACCCCGCCAAAACATCAGTACATCACTAACCACGAGCCCTAGCAAAAACTTCACTAACCTCGCTCGCAAATTTCGACGAAAAGCGGACTCCAAAATCCCAAGCAACACGCGAACCCCAACAAAAGTTTCGCAAACTATGAAAGCCAAAAGCCCAAAACCCCAACCAAAAGCTGAAACCTAGAGATCATGCCAAAAAGTGGTCGAGCAAGGGGTTCTCACAGCGCTGCGGGCCGGGACCATGGTCTCCGTCGTTGGTGATCGAGTCGAAGCGGTCGTGGCTGGAGGTGAGGACGGAGGGGCTGCGACCGGCGAAGCGCCCGCGGGTGCGCACCACGGCGGGGGAAACGATGCGGGGCACGGGGAGCGCGCGGGCGGCGCGGCCGTCCTCCTCCATGTCGTCCTCGTCGTCCTGGTCGTAGTCGACGAACTCCACGTCACCCTCCTCCACCGCCGCCGCTCGCCCCATCTCCGCCACCATGATGGGAGAGAATGGGAGGGCGAGTGTGGTAGTGGGTGGCAACTGGCAACGTGGGTCTCTTATAATGGCGGTGATTTTTTGTTGAGCATTAATGGCGGTGATTACTAGTACTACAAGCTAAACGTGATTAGTTTAGCTATATTTTCATAAAGACCCTTTAAATTCTATTAATTTCAAAAAAAACCAGCGTCGCCGTCGAATTGGGGAACGGATAGCTGAGGTGTTATTTGAGAGCCGACAAGTGGCTTTTCCCCCATCCAAATCAAAATAAAACTTCAGATCCTTCTCGACTCTTTCTCCATGGCGGCCGCCTCATCCGCTGCCGCAGCCGCCGCCTCCCCCGGTGGGGGTGCCGGCGACCCTCCCGTGGCAGAGGCGGCGACGGCGACGGCGACGGCGACGGCGAGGACTGCTGCGTGCCCTTGCCCCGTATGCCTCGAAGCCTTCAAAGACGAGGCTTACCTCGACACTTGTTTCCGTAAGTCGTGCCCCCTCGTCTCTCTCTATTTTTTCACCGATTTTCGGTATTAAGCTTGTTTCTGCTCGATACGCGCCTACGAACTGAGCATGGGCTCTAGGATTTTGCTATGGAATGAAATTTTGTTGCGATTATTGGTCTCTTGCTCAAAGTGAATTGTAGAAACTATAATTTGCTGTACTAGTTCAGATTCAGAATAATGCTTTGCCGTTACGCTGTTTAAGTTCCTTTCTGAAACTCCTAGCTGCTTCTGCAGATTCTTTTTTGCTACAAGTGTATATGTCAGTGGGTAAGGATAGTAGCGAGCAAGCACGCAGAACCTTTGTCTTCGGTTAGATGCCCACTTTGTAAGGTGAGCCCAATCCTGCTTATGAGTGGCAACATCTGCTGTAACGATATATTCACTCGAGCAACTTTATTGTCTTCTTGAAGTGCATGCTTAGGTAAACAGTGTGGGTCTCTATGTAAGTGGTTCAATTATTAAAAGTGTGTTGAAATGCACAATTTGGTTCAGTACCCCCTGAAAAATCTGGTGTTGTTTTATTAGAATGGAGAAACTGACAACAAACATTTTGAGTTGTGAACAATATCTACAAATTTGGGATGTGTTAGTTTCACCTTTGTCATTTGTTGCTTAAGTCTAGGTACCCTTAATTCTTTATTGGTAGTTGGTGGAGTGAAGTGAACCGATATGTACAAATTTGACCATCTATTTTTTCCTCAGGCTTAGTGCTGAAGTCCTGACCAGATGTAACCTTGTCGCTTTTTTCAGACTGAGAACCTATCCGTGATACATGCTTTTGATGGTGAATCATTTGAGCGGTGGTACATAAATCAGGAACCTAGGAAGAGGTATCTGTCCTCTCTTTTTTTTTCTCCCTCAAGTTGTGCATGATTGTGAGTGTTCAATAAATGAATAAGGCAAAGGCTACCCTTCCTAACCAGTAACCTGCAAATAGAGTGACTCTATTCTTCTAGAAAAAGAAAGAATTGACATGAACTTTAACTAAAAAGGTTATCTACCATAGGTCTCCTGTACTCATTAAATAAATAGAAAATCTCCACTGGGAAATAGCAGAAGTTCCTGCCTAACTTTGGTATACCAGCCAAAAAGCAGAGTAGAGAGAATCAGTTGCTTCCAGTGACTCTGTCTGTACTCTGTAGCCCATATTCACAAGCAACCATTTATTTGGTTGCTGAATGGAGGCTATCTACATGTTATTCATCTGACTGTAAACTATAACTTATTCTCGCATATGTGAAGAAGTATACTAATCCCCCTTTCCTCATGGTACAGGCATCTTTCAGATGCACATGAGTTGGTGTCACAATTCTATAACATGAAAGGTATTATGTCAATCTGTTTTTGCTATTCCCTTTCACGCTTTGGTATTCTACATCAGAATTTTATGTGCCTCACTTGTTAAGTAACACTTATGCTTGCTGAATTAAGCAGAGAGCACAAGCAACATTGCCGGTGTGCAGCAATACTGGGAGCAACAAAGATATCTCCGGAAGAAAATTTGGCTTGAAACCTGGCTAAGACGGGAAATTCAGGCCCTTACTCGGGTAAGCTGTTGTTTCCTATTAGCAATACAGTTATTCCATAGGTTACAAGAATCCTGAGTGCTTTTAGCTACTGGGGTAGGCGACCTAGCTTTTTGTAAGGATATATATAGTTTATAAGCATCCATTGGGATCTGTGTTTATGCAAGGATATCTGGATTTCTCTTGTTAAATATTCCTTGTATATACTAGGTTGTGAAGTGGTTTCAGATTGACAATTGCATATTTGGATACCAATTTAGACTCCTAAAAAATATCGTGCAGTTAGGCTTTTATTTCACTGTTAATGACTCGTGGATCATGGTCAAAAGAGATAGTAGGAGACACTCGGATGGTAGTACTTTTGTTGCCAAAATCACAGCAGAGAAGTAGTGGAGCATGATACATGTTGTATTCTTCAATAATTATGTAATGTTGAAGTTGTTATATGGTGATAGAGGATAGTGTCCTTTTTTCTTCTTTTAATAAAGGTGAATAGCCATGGTGTTGCTTGATTGCGATGCATATAGGATTTTTTTCCCATGTTGATTGCCACTGACGGACTGATGCATAGCAATGTTGAGTTTTTGCAGGATGAGAACGTTGAGGCCATAGTCTACCACATTCACGGTGTCATTGGATCCTTCATGAAGAGGCTTGAAATGGAGCACAAGTCAAGGACGATTTCACCAGAGAAGATGAGGGAGGAGTTCAGGAGATTGGTCTCTGATGCTGCTAGGCCATTCCTCCTTGGCCGAACAGAGCGATTTGTCACCGAGGTGGAGCTCTTCCTGGTTTCAAATCTCAACATGGAAGCGTACAACAAACTGCGCGTTCAGAGGTTTAGGGAGTCCAGTTCCCATCTGACGAGAGAGCAAGATGCGCTGCCTCATGATCGGTCTCTTGAGGAGCACTACTTGTATTTCGTCTGTAACGACACGGACTGTGATGAGATGTAGTGATCTGCAATTTTTGCCACAGGTGACCTTGTTCCCTTGTATATACTGCAATTTTGGCTGGCCCCGATTACTAGTTCACTGTTTGCAACTTAATGCTGATACATGGAACATAACAGCTGGGGAACTTGTTGAATTAAAATGAAAATCTAAGGGCAGGCCTTTGGATTTGAAGCTGTTGAAAAACAGCAAAACGTTATTAGCACAGTTACTACACTCTCAAAATGCAGTTTAAAAAACACACACTCGGAAAAAACACTTGATCATGCTACTATACACTTTCTTCCACCGCTGGTTATTGTAAATTAAGCATGTTAGAGAAATCCATTGCATTGAAGTGCTGGAAATCCTCTTGTTCATGTGTTCTTTTTCTTTTCTGGCTAATTTGTTCCAGAATGTATGGGTCGAATAATTCTGGAGCAAAAATCTTTCTCGCTTCTCGATGTGCTACTGTCGGGTATTGTTACTAGGAATACCCAAAGCAAGGAGGTTAGGTGCCCACGCTGACTTCCCCGGATGGCTCGAGACGTATTAAAAGGTTTCGAGCGACCCCAAGGTCGCGGACTCCATCTCACCCGACCCCGAGGACGCGGGCTCCGTCTCGCCCAAGGTCACGGGTTCTGTCTCGCCCGACCCTCGGGTGCGGGCTCCGTCTCGTCCGACCCCGAGGACGCGGGCTCCGTCTTGCCCAATCCCTCGGGTGCGGGCTCCGTCTCGCCCAACCCCTCGGGTGCGGCCTCCGTCTCGCCCGACCCTGAGGACGCGGGCTCCGTCTCGTCCGACCCCTCGGGTGCGGGCTCCGTCTCGCCCGACCACGAGGACGCGTAGGCTCCATCTCACCAAATCCCTCGGGTGACCCCCAAGGACGTGAGCTCCGTCTCGCCCGATCCCTTGGGTGCGGACTCCGTCTCGCCCGACCCCTTGGGTTCGTGCTCCGTCTCGCCCAACCTCAAGGACGCAGGATCCGTCTCGTCCGACGGGGACCCATACCGCCGCCAACCACTCTAGGTCCAAGCGTATGGGCCTGGGTCCAAACTCTGACACCAAGAAAGAGGCTGGCACACCTCGATGTAACTCGTGGCCATGACGGACCATACCTGGCTATTCACATCAAGAACGTGTTGGGCGTGTCGGTACTGTTCTGCCTAACCCTCGTACGGACGCTGACAGGCACGTCAGTTCACCACGACGTCCGCCGGGACGGAGTGGAGCGCCATGATCGGCAGATGACGCCTGCGCATGACGCCAGTGACGAACAGGGCCGCAACATGGAGTCATCCCTGTTGACATCTACATGATCGGCAGGACCCGCATGAAGGAGGGGAAGGACCCGGCGACCCTGGAAGCCTTCTTCCTCTCTCTCTCTCTCATTCTTCTCCTTTTCCTCTGCTCTAACCCGCGCTTTCCCTTCGCCTCTAAAAGAGAAAGTAGGGCGTCCCATGAAGGAGGATCCAGATCGGCACGAGACCGAACCACGAGAGAAAACACAAGAGCATGACACGAACACACGGCTGAGCAGCGATCGAGCTCTTAGCATCCGTTCACTTCTTCCACCAGATACTTGGGATCCTTTTCCTCTCTCGCCCGTTGTAACCCCTACTGTAAACCAAGTGCCGGTAACACGAGCAACAACAAACTGGACGTAGAGACGTGTCGGGGACCAATACTAGGGTATCCGAAAGGAGGAGCTAATAACCATCAACATTGATTCATTCGAGCAATCAAGAGCGCGACTACAGCTCCAACCTCCCCCTAGGTGCGCAAACTCCGCCTCGCCCGACCCCTGAGAGATGGCTCTGCCTCTCCCGACACCGAGGCCACGGGCTCCGCCTCGCCTGACCTCTGAGGGTTGGCTCTCCCTCGCCCAACACCGAGGCCGCGGGCTCCGCCTCGCTCGATGAAAGGTCCTTGTGTGGTTTTGGTAATTGAGTGACAACCCTAGGTGGACTAATTGTGTTTATGTGAGATACACAGGTAATTAGTCCACAAGTACATGTGTGTGAGCAACATATGCCGTGAAGGTGAAAATGGTTTGAAGATGTTACAAAGCTCACACATGTGATGATGAAGGAGCTTATTGCACATGAGACATGACATTGAGTCATGTGATCAAGGTGGAGAAGATCAAGACAAGACTTGGCTTGATGGACCGGTTGCAAGCGTGAAGGGCAAGTCGGAGGCTTTGGAGCGATGGACCGTGTGGCGGTGAAGCTTAAGCAAGACTTGGCGCCGATGGACGAAGGCAACGGTAAAAAGCAAGTGAAGTCAAGATCGATGAACCAATATGATCACGTGATGATATGAAGTGGATCATATCATTGTTGATCATGTTGGTGCATGTGTTGCATCGACATTGGAGGAGATGGAATGGAATGCACAAGGCAAAGGTATAACCTAGGGCATTCATTTCACCAGTCATAGGTGTGTAGAGAAGTTGATGACCGGGTTTAGGATAGATGGTCGTACTATCAAGAGGGGCAAGCTTGTTTGCATATCGGTCATCTAGTGCCACTTGAGTGATCTAACTTTGCATCATCGCTAGGATCGAGTGGCGTGGCAAGTTGAGTGACTAATCCTTTGGAAAATGTTTGTGAAAAGCTAACACACATACACATGGTGGTGTACACTTGATGGTATTAGCACATTTGCAAAGGAGAAGAAGTTAGAGTTGTTGTGCATCAACTTAGAGAAGAGAAAAAGGTTTTTTGGTGTATTCCGAACTATAGGATGGTCCTTGGATTGGAATACTGCTTTGATCTATTGTGATTTGGATCAAGTATGCATGTGGGATGTGTAGCCCTCCGAGTAAGCTTTCCAAAAAGTCCAAGATCATCAAAATCGGAGTTCGGAGCTAAGAGTTATAGCCGTTTTAGCGTTGAAAGGTCTGTGACCGGACGCTGGGGTCCAGCGTCCGGTCAGCACCTGCGAGTCCGATCACAACGTCCGATCAGTGTTTTTAGTGTGTCCAGAAGCGACCGAACGCTGAGAGAGTCCGGTCAGTGATGACCGGACGCGTCCAGTCGCTGGAACCTCTCTGTAAGTGACCGGACGCTGGGTTTCAGCGTCCGGTCGTTATGACCTGTGCATCCGGTCAGTACGCGCTTTGCCCAGTGAAGGGGTAATGGCTATTTTAGCCCTTGGGGCTATAAAAGGAGTGTGTGGCCGGCCTTGAGGCTGGTTGCTTAGCACCCTCACGCCTATGTGGCTTGTGTCGGAGTGCTTGGATGCCCTCTCACTCACTTATGCTTGCAAGAGTGCGAATTGATTGCAAGTGAGTGTGATTCTAGTGCGTTGCATTGTGAGATTGCATCGAGTGGCACTAGGTGATTGAGTTGCAAGCCGGTGGTGCTTGTTACTCTTGGAGGTTGCCACCTCCTAGACAGCTTGGTGATGGTCTCCGTCGAAGCCCGCAAGAAGCTTGTGCGGTGCTCCGCAGAAGAGCTTTGTAAGGGGTATTGTGCTCGCCCCGCGGGAGCCGCGAAGAGCAACTATAGTTGAGCGTGTTATTGAGCTACCCTCACTTTTGGGATAGGTTCTTACGGTGCCCGACATGCGGGTTTGGCGGGTGATGCCAATTAGCCGCCGAACCACCAAGTGAGTGGTCGACACAACGGGGACGTAGCGTGTTGGCAAGCACGTGAACCTCGGGAGGAAATCACCGTGTCAACCTTGTTCTTCCCGTTGGTTTGCAATCCCCTTACACAAGCTTGTGATTACTTTTATATACATTGTGCTTGTGTAATTACTCTTGTAATTAGTTAGCTTGTGTAGTTCACTAGTTACCTTCTTGCTTGTGTAGCATAGAAGTAGCTTCCTTGTGTGACTAATTTGGTTTGTGTAACCTTGTTAGTCACTTTGCTTAGTTTGTGTAGCTAAATATTTGCGCTATCTAATTTGGCATTGGTTGTCTTGTTATTGAGCATTGCTAGTGAGCTTAGTTGGCTTTGTGTTTTTACTTACTAGCATGTGTAGGAGCTCCCTCATTACTTAAAATACTGGTGGCATAGGTTTGTGTGACCTTACTCCTAGAATTGGTTAGGTGAGCTATAGTTAGTCCGGCACTTTTGTAACTTAATTAGGATCTTTGCAATGTGCTAATGAACATAGATAGAGGGATGTAGTCTTGGCTAGATTGATAGTTTTAATTCCGCACTTATTTTGGTTAGCCGACGCGATTAAGTTTTAGAAACGACTATTCACCCCCCTCTAGTCGCCATCTCGACCCTACACTCGACCCCAAAGGGCAGACTCCGCCTCGCTCGACCCCTAAGGGCAGACTCCATCTCGCCCGACCTCTGGGGTGGGCTCCGCCTCGCTCGACCCCTGAGGGTTGCTCCTCCTCGCCTGACACCGAGGACGCGGGCTCTGCCTCGCTCGACCCCTGAGGGCGGACTCCATCTCGCCCGACCTCTGGGCGGGCTCCGCCTTGCCCAACACCAGGGCGCGGGCTCTGCCTCGCCTAACCCCTGAGGGTTGGCTCCGTCTCGCCCAACACCGAGGTTGCGGGCTCCGCCTCGCCCGGCCCCTAAGGGGGGACTCCGTCTCGCCCGACCTCTAGGGGCGGGCTCCGTCTCGCCTGACACCAAGGCCACGGGCTTCACCTCGCCCGACCTCTAAGGGCTGGCTCCGCTTCGCCTGACCCTTAGGTTTGGGCTCCGCCTCGCCCGAGACTTGGGTTTACGCTTCGCCTCGCCCGACCCCGAGGTCGGGTGAAAACTCTAGTTTGGTTTTGGTGAATTGATGAAACCCTAAGTGCTAACCTAGTTTATCAAAGTGATCATGAGATAGGTAGCACATTCCAAGTGGTGAAGTAAATGAAGATCATGACATGATGATGGCGATGCCATGGTGATGATTAAGTGCTTGGACTTGAAAAGAAGAAAGAGAAAAACAAAAGGCTCAAGCCAAAGGTATAAGTGGTAGGAGATATTTTTGTTTTGGCGATCGAGACACTTAGTGAGTGTGATGACATTTAGGATCGATAGCCGTACTATTAAGGGGGG